GAAATCCAGGCTCCATCTGTGAAGCCTTAACTAGCTCTACTCCGCCTATATTATTCTTGAGACTGACGCTATAAATGCACAAATAGTCCATCTAAATGTGTTATTGCACTCCGCAATATCCATCAAGCAAAATATTCTATTCAACCATCCTCCATTCTGGAAACTGATGACATCCTCCCATCAGCCAAGAAACTGGAAGGGCGTGATATGTCACCGCTCCTTTTGAATATGTTTGCCATTTCACTATGATCCAAGCGCTTTCCAGATCAATGGAAAACTCCATTTCTCAGCCCTCCCCACCAGGGCTGCGCAAAACAGAAGACTGACAATTGCAGGCCAAAGCATAACCCTTCTATAATCGCCAAATTCCTCGAGAAATTGTTAACAATATGTGTGATGAATTTCATCAACTCACTAGAGCTGATAGACGGGTCCTAACATGGTTTCCTTGACAAGCGCTGGTACACATTCTGGTAGCTGCGTTACCTGAATTAGATACCAGACTCCATGTACTAAATATGCTATATTATTTCTATTCTTGTACATGCAATAGGCATTCGATTGGGTGCTTCATAAACGTTTACTGATCCAGATAGCTTTTTTGAAGTCCAGCACACATTAATGGGTTGTCTATCATCATACATAACGATCGCGCTCAAACATTTAGCGTAGGCGACTATTGCTCCTCCCCGCGTTTAATTACCAGCGAGGTTAACCAAGCATTGCACTCAGTACATTAATTTCTCTGCTTTGTGTCAATGAAAGCAGTTTGGTTATCACACATGACGTGTCGTTTTTATTTGTTGATGATATAACTTGTCCACAAGTACCGACGAGTTCAGCTTCCGGAGGTGCTACCACTCATTCAAGAATGCATTAATGCACTTGAGACTTGGTGCGACAAATGGATGATGACGTTCTAAGCGCAAAAGTAAGGTGTCATATGTCACGGTTGTTTGATACCCGAAGTGTCTGTCACACGTAACAGCGAACGCATCTGTGTACAACGGTCTACCCATGACTCCCGAAGCAGATATTCTTGTACTTTCATGTTCTCTGAACAGATTGAGTACCAGATAGCAAAAGCCAGACAATCCTTGGCTAACCTATTTCATAACATGCATACACTCATGGATACAGTTGAACGATTTAGAATCTTTAATCTTCCTTTGCTGAAGTATCGCTGCATAACCTTTGGCAACATGGGAAAATCGGACCGAACATCGATAGAAAGCCTTCAATGGTCATTTACTAAACATGTATTGGAAAAAATGCTAGAATAAATTATCGGGAGCAATGCCAGCAACTCCATCGTGATTCGCATTGGCTTCCAAGCCTAAAACATAACCTGAGACTGTTGTACAATGTGATTCATAGCAATTTCTATTGCAACCGATGCACCTTAACATTGTAGCACAATTAAACGCGGAACCAAGGTAACAAAGACTTTACCTTGATTATACCACAATGCAGGACAAAACTGCGGTTTAACTTTCGTCTCCTCACATATGTTGCTCTGTGGAATCGGCTGTCATTCACCATCAGATCGTGTGAGACTGTGCAATCCTTTCGCAGTAAGTTGGCCAGTTACCTCGACCTGGACACCAATAAGTCGTCTTTTGCATAGGGGAGATCACTTGTTCATCCAAAAAATAAAAGCCTAGACAAAATCTAATGGGTGAAATACCACGCTCAGTGTTTAACACATACTCAATCTGCCAATTCGATTCCTACCATCGTATAAGACATAAACATATGGGGCAAATACCTTGCCAGGAATGTAAACAAAAATAAGAAGATAACTTGGTATTGCTTTTGCAAGAGCATAACATCACCTTTGCGGGTAGGTTCAGTGCAAAATATTGTCACAGCTTTTGATTTGATGGGTAATATAGTTATTATTCTTGTCTTTGTTCTTATTAATATTATTATGGGGTGTATTTTTTGATCAGTGTCAATAACCAGGAACCCAAATATGCCAGTGGTACTGTGTCGCTTGGAGGAATCACATATTGTCTTCCTGATAGGTTGCGGTCTGCTTGGACAAGCGCTGGAAATTGGACACATGAACACCGGCCACCGGTCTGGTCAGAATACGAACTAATGGTAACTCTTTCCAACAAATCATCTGTTATAGGGTGCAGAATTTGCACGCTCAGACACATCATCCTAAGTTGACCAGTTTCGGTTAGACGCTCTGCTGGTGACCTCTAGCATTTATACCCTCATCCCTGTCTGCCTTGCGTTGACACAAATGTGTCAACCTACTCGGAAGCATAGATGAATGAACTCCCCGTGCTCCCATCGACGCATACATCCAGCCATGTGCTTACAGGCAGGTTGTCCTATTGGCAAAAATCCCATGACCAATGCGAGTGTCACTGATGGTACGTGCATGTGGCAACGCAGGGAGTGTTTGTTTTCATACGCGTGCGAACTGAACAACAGATGAGTTCGATTTTTTACAAGCTAACTTATTAGCGCACGTAAAAAGCTTATAGTACTCTGTGTTCTACAACGGGGTATTGCATATGTGGGGAGTAAAATGTTCGGTGTACTTTCACCTTTATTAATTTTTAGAGGGAAATGCTCGGAAAAAGTTGAGTGCATTTGTGAGTATTCCATGAGACAACAACATATTTGGCAGGGCCCCATTGCTAGTGGTTTTAAGTCTGCGGCTTCAGATTCAGCGACGACTCGGTGTGTCAAAGTTTACTTTTTCATATCAATGTGGAATATAAGACACGAAATTATCATATCGGCTGAACGGATGGACCAGCCGAGCGAGACAGGCTGTCGAAATGAAATTGAGGAAACATATTATTTTGCTTGAACAGATTGGTGGAAATTCTTGTGTCAAAAACGGTTTGTTTAACTGAGGCAAAGAGAAACCTCATCGACTCAGAAGGGTCATCAGCTATTGACGTAAACGTGTGATTTACATGGAGGGGTTTGGTATGCCAAACATACTTATATATATTTATATATATATACCGTACACGGTCCTCTTGGTAGTGCAAGTCAGTTCCATGCAGTCAGTGTGGAGCGGACTGCGGTCCAGCCACCCCTTCTATGCGATTGATTCTCAACTATAGCGCGCTTGTGTTTGCCTGTGAAGGAGTGTGGGCCGGCTCCGTTGATGAAACGTGGCTCCCATCCACATGCCTCCCGGTCTTATTCCTTCGGGTTTAAACTGGATATGGGGTGTGTGGATGTAGCTGTGGGTGGTGTAGCGCAAGCCATCCATGGTCCCTCTGTAGGTGCAGGCGTCATGTGGCTGGCCACAGTGACAGCCAAATCCGAAACCGGATGCCGCCAACCATATATATATATATATACTGTGAGCAAATGTCCTTGCAGTTTTATAATACTTCGGCTGGGCACGATAAGCGGACCAACAATAACGGATGGCAGATACTGCATTCTACAAGTACAGGGCATGATGATAACTTTCACAATTAATATTTTATATCCACCGTACCTCAGCACAATAACTTTGATTTCCAATACAGTTCTTTATTAAAAACATTAACATTCGTCCTTTAGGACTTTAATTAACAAAACTGTGATTTCGTGACCAATGCCCGTTATCTTTCGCTTTTCCAAGGCCTCCTTCGTTAATGAGATGGCATTCGCTTTATCCGATTCGAAATGCAAGATAAAGACGCCTTTCACGAACTTCCGGCGTGGACCGGTTACAACGCAAGTAAAGTTCTTGTAGCCCAATATTTTCTCCGTATTAGCCAATTTCTCGTACTTTAAATTCAAGAGAGCCAGTGAAGTAAGAACAATATTTTTATTAGTACGAGGAGTTCATTACAAGTTAACTGATTAGGTTTAAGAGATCCTGGATTATGTGTTGGAAATTTTGAATGAATTACAAATTTTTCCACACTTTATTGCTCTCTTTTTTTAAATATACCTTGCACTCAGACAAGTCTACTCGTGGGTTACCATGAGATTGCGACGTTTCACTAGTGTTAAAATCAAGGGCATGCAAAGCTGTATATATCGCGCACTTCCAATGAATTTAATCGCAACGATGCTTCAATCAGGTTACTTTATTGTCAATGGTTTAATAAGGAACACCATCGATTATACATTATCCGATCAGGTACGCAAACTGTCATCGGGGTCCGTAAGATGTCAAAGATTAACCTGATTGCTTTATGCGAATTTAAGTTTGCTGATTATGTAAGTGTTTAAACTCAGTCAATGCTTGCCACGTATTTTAATCCAAGCTGTAGCGAATACGGCACAGCGATCAACAATATAAAACTAGCAAACAAATTGTTATTTGATCTACGTTGCGCACCGAGCGTGTATTATTACGGGTCTATTATGATTTGGGAGATAACGGTGCGTTATCTGGTGAACAGTTTCAGTGCGTCGAGTACTTTAGTTGGGTACCGCCCTCTTCCAAAATCAGGAGTCACTCTGATGAGTACCACAGCGCAAAGGGCTTACAAATTCACTTCAAACTGTTACTTACTTTCGAACAGGTCGTCTCCACAATATTCATCACCTCATTTGCACTGCCATATACACCGCGCCATACGTCCGTTAAATTATCTCCCAATAAACCCACAGAAATTCGAATGGCTGAATTCGAAAGACAGGATTAGGAGTTCGAAAGGTGCATGCATGTTAAATTTCACGTGAAACGATGGATGATACCATTATGGTGTAACTACTTCTCATGTTTGTAGTGGTCAACGTGTAGGTACGAGTGTTTACTTATGTGTTTCATTCAGTTACTTATAACGGTGCTGTGCCATGCTTACAACCTAGTTGAAAATCGCTGTTAGTTTGGCCAACATGTTTTAGCGCCAACAGGAACTTCGCACTTGTGATACAGGCGATTACGCAACATCCAATCGCAAGAGTAGTCAGCTGAATTGCACTGCTCACTCTGGTGAACGGGGTGAGATGTGTTAATTAGTATTGTCGCGTCAGTTCCCACAGACTAACAACTGTCTGCTTGTGACTATGGTGGTACTCACTAAGTCCAGAATAAAGATTAAATGGGGAGTAGTGGATTGTGCGTAGACCTGTACAGTCTAGCTGTCCTTGATTGTTTTAAATCTCGGTATGATAGAACAACTTACTTGCATACCCATCACCAGTGGCAGTCTCTGTAAAAAAGTAATGAGGCTATCAGCTTGTTCGTCGAAAAAATACTAATTCAAAAGCCACATGGAAACATGACTTCTCATAGATATGACTTCTTTTCATGAACATTATAAAAATCTCTGGATTCAAGATATTCTAATTGCGTGAATGATAACCGCGCAATATCTGGAGTATTGATGAATTTAATCATTATCTATTGCAAGACAGTTGTTTTACGAAGATAACTATCTTGGCACAAAACGCAAGAGTTTAGTACTACCTTTTTAACGATTGGGACCAATTTACCGTAGTGTGGCCGCAGTTGGAAGTTCATGGTGGTCGAAATATTTTTCTGTTTTTCAAGTTCAAAGAACAATTCCCCTACAAACTTATGCAATTTAGTAGTTCCTTTATTCTCTAGTTTGACAATGACATGAGTTCGATTAGGAGGGATTATCAATGAAGAAAAGACACATCCGACCGTATCGTATGGCACGCCTGTCTTGGAAGTAATTGTGGTTCGGAGCTGTAATAGCATAGGAAATAATGCTTATCAGTGAATAGTAGGTTTAAAGTAATCAGTCAGAACACATTTTATCATGCATAGCCCAAACTTTCAAACGAGTTCAGTATGCGGGTTGAAATGTGAGAGCAGCCTTAACGATTCGGATAAAGCATATTATTAGTAGAGCGATTTTACGTTGATTTGATTACTTCGCGCCTGTAAACAAAAACTCAGTGAAATACTATTTACCTTGATGCAGACATCTTCATACTGTCTAACTGATGGACGATCTTTCAGGTCCTCTTTACGAGTCAACGGTAACGGATTACCATCCTTTAGGAGTATTCCTGTTATCATTATGACTGTAACGACAAGCGAAAATGAAGTAACTAATGTAACGCAAACTAATTCGCAAGGTTGTCGTGCAGAGAGAATTTGGTTTTCTGGCCAGAAGCATGTGAGCCGGTTGTTCTGCGTTTTCTTTAAAATCCAGATTACTTTAACCATGAAATTTGGAAATAAACACTAATTTAGACACAACTGACGCAGTGAAGAATTTAACATACAATATACCTCGGTTTTGCGGCGATCAGTTAAAGAGACACTTCACAAATGTGAACTCACCATGTTGACGCATTTGTTGGCATGACGAAAACGCAATCGCTGTTGAGCGAATGAGGTGGAGAACATTAGGAGTACGGTGTTAAATCATTGGGCATACAGAGCTTTACTGCGGTGCATTAAGTTAGCTGCCTCGACCACTGTATCCGTTTCACTAATTCAGGGAATTTTGTATATTATGCATTCGAATATGCATGAATTTCGACCAGCGTGAGGGCTGTTTCGGCGGCAAGAATTTAACAATACTCTTGTTACGCACCTAATCGTCATTTACCAGTGCTGTCAGAGACAAATCTGCAATGTACTTGTAAATGTTTCTAGCAGTAGCTTAGTGTTTGTTAAAGAAACAACTAAAGTGTCAAGTGGCTCAGTTAAGCATGGGTGGGTGTTAGAGGGGCTCCCGCTTGGAAGTCGCTCACAGCTAGATAGTTTAACATTCGAAACTGTCCCGTCACGTGATTGTGTTGGCTCCACGCACGACAGCCTTTCAGAGCTAGACCGCTCACCGTTCATGACTATGACTTTTCATGTGATTGGCTTATTGACCCATCGACCATTTTACAACCCCGTTGCTCACCTTTGTCACTTCTTCAATACAAGTAGTCCCGCGCTGTGGTGTTCTTGCTTTCGTTTTGGAGTGGGTTCTGTTACAGTCAGACGTTATAATAGTGCGGCATCACTTTCTCCGCATGGATTGCATGCGTAACATTTATTGTGATGTGCGCATAATCTGAACGGCTGAATCAGCTGTTTCATATTTGACTACTAGAGATTACCTAAATAACGTTGTTCTCGTGGGTTCGCTCAAGGTAAGGAAAAAAGTTAGCATATTCTGACATACTAGCGGTCTAATGCTTGTCGAATGAGATTATATTATATTAATAGCACACACAGAGTTCCGTGGTGTAATGTTATCATTGAAGAATTGACGTTGGAGGATAAATTGCAGGCTCAGAATGCATCACAAAACTTACCAAGCAGTAGTAAGCAAGTTGTCAGGAACATAATGGTTGTTAGGCTTTATTTCATTGGGGTTGTGATGCGCATGTAATTTATTTACTCGCCACAGTGCTCGTTCGAGACTGTGAGCAAGATATCCTGGCGACAATTATTGCGTAATATTTCGCAGAGTTGACGGCAAAAATCATTTATAGCAGAGCCCAGTCTGCAATCCGTGAGATCACAGACCGTTACGACAAACAAATTGCTTGTGGTTGCCTCGTGCCTGGATAATCGTATGGCGATTTCTAACCGAATTGCGCGGAGTTGACTATTAATGGGGTGCCGAACAAGTAGCGCTGCTTCTGCACGCGCACTAAAAGTAATTCTTACACCGGCCTAACTAGCGGCTTCAGCACTCGTATCTCCCTATAGTTTTAACGTGAATGCGTCGGGTAAGCGATCAGAAGACTACGTAGACACATATCCATGTGTGTTGTGTGCGGATAGCGCTTTTCAATTATGCAGTTAAGTGCAGAGGGCTGACTTACGTAACCCCGTCTCTTGTCTTAGTTCGCAAAGGCCTTACCCGTAAAGCAGCAAGTCGGGTACCATGTACATTAAAACGTCCGGCCCTATAACACTGCTTTCGAGTAGCAACAAACTGTTTAGGGCGCCCGAACAACTCGAGGTTTGTAGTACAGGGTCAAAAAAAACTTTTCCTGAAACGCCAAACCCGTTGCTGAATACGCACTGTTGACAGCCAAATGGGTCTTATGCGCCTTCTTAGTGCTCGATGTCAGTACACATAGTGGCGGGTGGTCATCGATGTTTTTCATCCTCCTCAGGTAGATAGTGAATTCCGGTCACATTCTACAGGTCACCATGCTGTACGAAAGCTTGTGATAATTAATAGATAACCAAATGACCAAGCTCGAACTCCCCAAGCTCTGAGAAGCTGCACTGATCGGGCGTGGCTGCTAACATGTGAATTAAACGATACACTCACACGTCCGTTCACTAGGAGGGCACTTCACGATCCGCAACCTGGGGAAGCGCGCAACAGTCTACAACAATCCCGTAAACCGATCTCAATGCACACATCCCATTCTCAACTTCGTCTTGCATCGTTACACATCCACTCCTGGTGCACCATGATATTATCGCTACATCAGTATAGGTCAAACTGTGGTGCCACTCCGTCTTACGATTTTGTGCTTCAAGCCCTATCAGCTTGCGACGCTTCCCAAGCATTCACTTATTTAATGTATTTGTCGCCTGCTGCTTTAAAACGCAGTGCGTGCTAGCCGCGGAATAAGCACACAGATTACCCATATGTTCAGGTGCTTTACATCCTCAGTGCACTGGTTGATATGTCGCCCAACACAATCGCATGACGACAGGACGCCTAGTGCGCTGCGGTCATCGCACCAGTGACGGGTGTCGATAATCACCTGCGATTTCGCGCTTTGGCCAAAGTTAGCCGTCACCTCACGCGCCTCAATATGTGTCGTATTGCGTCTGTTCACTCCCGCACGCGCTAGCTTGTACTGACCTGTACTGTCCGCAGTGTCAGAATGCGAATAGCCAGTAGCCATTTTCGTCAACAGGCACTGTTAAGAGGTGCTGTGGATCGCGCCGAAATTCCTTATCTTGCATTGACCCAGTTTCATCCTAGCACACTGTTACTGACCTCAGGCACTAACATGCTACTACATCCACCCCCGTCATGCATTCGGTTACCGCCCAGGTGACAGGATGCGCGAGAACAAATCCGGGCTGTGTCTCATGCATGCGCACACGTTGCAATGTCAGTGCATCTATGCCATATTAACTATAGGCGCGCATGTCACCTTCGTCCGACTGAATTTGATAATTTTCGCAGAGGATTTGGATAACCAGTCAGCTGAACTCGTAACCCTTGTGGCCTACGTTCACTTGGAAATTGTAGAGATTATGGCCACGCAAATAAATGCTGGACACTGCATTTGCGCGAGTGCTCTAAGCATGGAGGTATTTTGGGCGTATAGACTATATGGGTCCCCAATTTCGGGTATCGTTGACTGGTCGTGTTTGGAAATTATATGGCTTCCGTTTCTGTAGGGCAGAATGCCTTCCAAATCCGTTGTCTTGCATAGAAGGCTTTTGTGTTAAGGGCTTTGGACGTGGACCCTAATCATTGGTCATTCTAGGTCTTGGCGCCCTGGCAGCTCACATACAATCGTATCCCTTCCTCCAAATTCAACCCCACTTTGTATCGGCCATTGCACAGCTTATCAAGGGTCGCGTTATCTGGTGCATACAGCAAGGCGGATAAGCGAAAACATGATACTCCTGACGCCTTTCCGGTTTTCGTTCCATTGTTTCTTTTACTCCCGTCCCAACCCCGTTACTAATCTTCCTTCTATTATTCCCAGTTTTACTGACAGCAGCCGCAACGTAGATGGAAGCATATCATCTGCAATTATCTTCCCGCACAACCCATTGGACACGACTGGCTAACAGCTCCCTATAATTTCGCACTGTCGCGTTTCCGTGGCGGCTTTCAACGTTAGCACTAAAACAACTCGATCAACAGTCTGTACTCGCACGCAACATTGGACACAGCGGGTATTGACGTGTGTTACGTATCTGAAATTAGGATCAATGTTGTATTAACTGCGCCCGGCTTGTTCTCTTGCTATTGCTTACACGCATCCGGAAACGCTGGTGCAGCAACCACTTGTCAAGCTGTATTGGGCACTGCTCCCAGCTCCTAAGTTGATTCCCTGGAACAGCCGGTTGTGTACCGTCCGTTTGACGACATTAACCAAGGCTGATTCACGAAGTAGCATTAGAGGCAGTTTTGATGCCACCAAAGACACCTTCCACCGCGAGTCGAACACGAAACGTCGTAGTGTTAGCAGATATCACAGTCAGCAGATATCACAGTTCTTGGATGGGACTTGAATGCACAAGTGGATCGTTTGTGCTCGTCAGAAACTGAGCCAGGTGGTAAGTATGGACTTAACTCCGACCGTAGGAACAACGGCGAGTGTCTGCTACTGTTGTGGGTGGAGCACCGGTAATTTCTTAGTTGCACCGCTTTTAGAAACAGTGGGCGCCGAAGTGTCACTTAGCGTCCCCTATGGCTTGCCAGGGATGGGCCCAAATCGAGCATGTTGCCATAAGTTATGGATAACATGGCATTATCCTGTACTGGCGCTCGTTCTGGAATACGTGCAACAAAGCTGATCATATTTATTAATATCTCCTTTATCCATGAACTTTACCGGGAGGCGTTACAAGGCCCCCCTAGACTTGTGACTGAGAAGTTATCTCACTCGTCCATCAAGTAAGCCTACCGGTATGTATTGTTAACCGAACTTTCGCTCCTTCGTCTTGATAACACTTAGTTTCAGTGAAATACGATCTCGGCCGTCTTGTATGATGTATCAGCCTCAGCTGGAGCACTAACAATCGTCACCCCAGCAGTCACTGAATAACTGGGTCGTCTGTGAACCTATTGAAATCCAGAATAAAACTCCCTGCTGCCTCTGATCATAAGTTAACTAGGAGGACTATTAAGCACGAACTAAAGCGGAGCTGCGTGCTGCCAAGTATGCCCGCTGGACCAATAGGTCCCAAACAACGTAGGAAGCAGGAAAAGTAAGTAGTTATTGCACTTTCTTCCAAATGATCCGCATCCTTGGTTCCATGAAATCAGGAGCCAAGTAGACAATCAGAGACAGCGCAGGTATCCTGAGAGCTGTTCAGTTGGCCCTGCTCCTGTACCTCTTCCTACTCAGGTGGTGCAGGCTGAGTCATTGCATATTAGTTTAGATGCTCCATCGGAGACTCAGGTCCAAGATACCTTCGCAGACCTTAATCGTTTTTGTGCTGTTGACCCGGATTCCCTCGCATCGGTAATATTTAAGGCTAGTTGTGAGGTCTTCTGAAAAACACTAACTGTCCTGTTCGAGCAGATCTGTAATGGGGCAATCCCAGCTAACTAAAGTGGATTGATTATTGTGGCAATATATAGGAAAGTCAGTCTCACCGACTATACAAATCACAGGGGTATTGGCAAAACGCCTGGTGTGACAAAATCGCTGATCTCAATTCTCGTCGTTACCCTACTGCGGAACGAAAATCCCGCATTAGGGATGAACAGGCAGGCTTCCGCTCAGGACGTGGCTGTATACACCACATGTTCACTCTCCGGTAGGTGCTAGAGCAGCGTCGCACATGCCGTCGAACCACAATAGAGCTGTGCCTAGCCTTCAAGATTGCGTTCGACTCAGTCGATCGATCCATTCTGTATGAACTACTTGTGCAGAATTGCTCGCATGAAGCACAGTGAGTGTTAGAAGTCATGTCCGTTTTTAGTCCTTTGGTCCGTGAACAGGGTACACGCCGAGGGTCATTAACAGATATTGAAACAATTAGTTCCCGAGGAAACTTTTAGCAGAAAAGTTAACACAAGAGTACCGCACGATTTAATTCCGGAATAATTTCTCTGCATATTTTCAAGTGCGTACTACAGACGTGTGAATTTATAGCATCATGAAAGGAGCGCAGTTAAAATGCCAAATTGACCAAACTATACACACCTACATTCATGTCACTTTGTCATCTGTGCCCGGCCTGCTACCACGGCAAGGCCAGGGTCACAAATGCGTCTTTCTGCACACACAGGGTTGGGCCAAGTTGTTTGATAGCCACGGCCTCAGCATATCGTAAAGCTAGGGGTTCATTGATGCATAGATAACACGGAACGCCCGCACGGGGTCTACACAGTGATTGTCAGCCAGCAGATGGCGGGCAGTTGATGAAGCTGGTTGTTTGTATGGAACTTCATTTCGCTTCCTTGGCTGTGCATTCAAGGTGGTGGATGTGGTCATCTGCGAAACGTGTTTACTCACCCACGCAGATATGTGCTCCGTGATCCACACCCTCAAGTGTCGTTCTGTCATGCCCACGTATTCGGCCTTGCAAATACATGTAAATTGGTAAAGGATATGTGAACGGCTGGACAGTGACAGCGGGGGTTTAACCGATGGAGTAGGGATGCGATTCGTTGTGTA